AGGAGAGGAGAGGAGAGGAGAGGAGAGCTCTCAGTACATTAATTTACTTACAATTTCTGAAGTAAGAATATTGTACAAAAGAAACACATAACCTTCTGATGCTTTATTCAAAACTGTAATTTGAAGGTGCCTTAAACCGTTATGCAAAGACTGGCAGAAACTGTGTAACTCTCATTCAGAACTGTTTTTTCCCATGCAGGACTGCTCCCTATAAAATTGAAAGTTGCTAAAATACAAAGCATATACCAGTAAAATTCTCTAAGTAGGATCTAGGAAAGGAATCAAAACTCAGAGGAAAATTTAAAAGCAGACTAAACAACATACTAGTATTAGCACACATAGTAGTAACTCTATGTTTGCAAAGAGATGGCCTAGTTTTATATCAGTACTTATGTAAGTAATCACCAAGTATGGGGTTTTTTTTTACTTTCTAGAGTCTACTGCGATAGATGATCAGTATTTGTGGTCTGCTATTTTATTACCTTACACTGAAGGTTCTTGGTCATTGTATTTTACATTTCAATTTAGTTCTGGTTGTACCAGCAGTCAAGCAGGACTTAACAGAACAGCTTGACACTTTGCAACATTGGAACTATTTACAAGATTGGGCTTCAGGGTGAGCTGGTTTCTAAATTATTAGATCACCTTTTCATTTGGACTTCCATAATCTTGCAGTAGGAGGCTACAGCATGTCAAGATGGGAAAAGGGATGGTACTAGAATATAACTCTGACGTATTTAGTACACTGAACAGCCTTGCAAGGACCTTGAATTATTAGAACAACTGAATAAAGGTCATCCCCTTCAGAAGCCCTGAAGGAAAAAGGAAGCGTAAGTTCTTTCCTGCCCAATGCCCTTTCCTCAAAGCATTGACTGTTCATGATGATAGCTGCACAAAATCCAAGGGTGCAGTTTCATATCAGGTTGGTATGCCCAAGCTAGTTCAACACTAGGCATCTTAAACGTAGCCGTGGTAACTCGGGCACCAGCCTGGGCCTAGTGCCAGAGCATCTGCCCAGAATCCTGGGTGTGTTCTGCAGCCTGGCTAGTTTGGGTATATGGAGCTCATGTGCAGTCATGTCCTTATGCTTCAGGTTTGGAATGCAGACAGCTTCAGGACTACAGAACTATTAGAGCATCCATAGTGTGATCAAGGCCCAGCTTCAACGATAGGTAAAAGCAGATGCCCAGGGTAGTTTAAAGATCAGAGAGACCAATAGTGATATTCACCAAGAGTGCATTTCCAATCTTCAACTATTTACAACTCCACAATCTCCTGAATGAATGGATGTCTTGAAGGTGAGTTCTAGACATATGGCAGTTCTGAGTGGCATCACCCCTGCACCCATTAACTTGCTTCATCCTTGTCTAGCCCTCTTTGTATTGCTGTAGCTTTTGTGAACTGGAATATCTAGGATGCTCTTCCAGACCCTACAAAAGCTTGCTCTTTTTTCCAGCACCTTTTGCCACCTCTATGGTATGCACTGGTCACTGAAGCTGATTCTAGTAAGGAGGCTGCTCTGACTCACATTCTGATGTGCTTTAATTCTCAAGGACTCACTATCTTCACACTATTTCTAACTGATTTATGCTGAGAAGTGAGTTTTGAAATGTAATGAGAGCAGCACAGTTATTGGTAATTCAACTAAATTAAAATTCATGTGTTAGTAAGAGGCAAAGTGGATCGGATAATGTGGAGGAGGAGGCAAAGTAAATAGTGACTTTAGATTGTGCCTTGGCAAAATGTTTTTCCTGTTTCCACATTTTCATGTAATATTACCAGGCATGGAGCTATTAGGATGACTTGGGCTGGTTGTGATGACATAAAGTATCTTTGATGACCGGGCTGCATTGATGCTGAGATTTGTTTGTTCATTTATCTTCTCTGAGAGGGTCTGATTCACTGGAATCTTGTTTTGATGCACATTGTCCTTCACAGCTGAAAACACAAGAGTATGATTACAATAACAATGTCTTAACAGGTGTAACTGGACTTCATTTTGTCCTTGAAAACAGACGTGCTGCTCTCTGCTTTCCTTAGAGAACTCAAATAATCAAATTATGTCTGATGCCAGAAAAAGCCTGTACTTCACCAGGTTGCAGTTCTCAGAATTTTTCTGGAGGCTAACTGTTCATCATAACAGTAAGTACAACTCAAGGACTACAACATCCTGATTACTTTTGATTCGAGTGGAATAGACTGTTGAAAGAGCCAAGATGAACCAAGATGCAGATTGGCTACTGTTTTTTTGTTTTGTTTCAGCTCATGATTTTCCAGTCTGTTCTGAAAGGCAGGTATGTATGGGATTGAATTTTTGAAAATTTAAATTTTGCTATTTATGACACAGCTGGCTGGAGTGTTCCAAATTGAGAGAAACTTGAGCAAAGCTTTTACCCACTGAGCAGTGGCAACAAGATAGATGAAACACCTGTAAAATATTTGCTCTTTTTTTGCCACTTTGGAAATCCCCTGTGTGAATTAAATGCTTTAACAGCTCGTTGAAAGGTAGGAACAGCAAAGTTAGCCTCTTACCTTTGTATCTGATAGCAAATCCCTGGGCTTGATTGATTTCATCTGAGAAAAAGTACAAAATTACAAAATCCAAAGAGATGATAAAGGTGTGGGGAGGCCGGTTCTTGCCATCAAAACGAGCTAGAACATGATAGGTATAGCCATCCAGCAATTCCACCATATCTGTAGCATCTTTGATTTCAAAAAGGGCAAAGCTAAAGTGGATTCGAGATGCTCCTGGAACTTGTATGGTCCAGTAACAGACTTTGCCTGTGCCGTATGTATCGGGAAAATCTGGGGAATAGATCACAGCTGTAGCAGAGGTGTAATTCCCTCCACAGGCACCAATAAGGGCTATGAAAAGGAGAGGGGAAAAAAATGAAAGAAAGAGGTTATACATTCATTATGCACAGCTTTAGCACTCTGTAGATTCTAATACACAAATGTGACTTGAAGGTACAGTTTGACACCCAGCAGGTTGCACTGTCTCTCAGGTTGGTATTCTTTACCTTCCACAGCACTGGGAGCACAGCTATTATGCTGCATTTTCTTGGGACAGACTCATGCTGTCTCATTACTCTGAGACCTACGTATCAATCTTGAATACTGCAACTATCCTTTGTCCTTGTATGTAACCAGGTACCCTTTCCCGCATCCCTGCAGGAACAGGACAAAAGCTACATCACTGATTCAGGGACTTCTACTCTATCCCTATCAGGCAGGCAGGCAAGTGGATCAGTGTCGGTAACTCTCATTGCCGAGTTATTGAAATTCCTTCACAGTTTTATCAAATTGAAAAAACAGGTTTTCACAGAATAGCTGAGGTTGGAAGGGACCTCTGGAGATTGTCTAGTCCAATCTCCTGCTTCAAAGCAGGAGACATTGTCTGGTTGTGTTTTGAGTCTCCAAGGATGGAAACTCCACAACCTCTCTGGGAAACCTGTTCCCATGTTACTCTCTCAATAAAAAAAAGGTTTTCGTTATGTTTAAATGGATTTTCCTGGGTTTCAATTTGTGCCAGTTGCCTCGTTTCTATTCACTAGATAACACTGAGGAGAGTCTGGCTTCATCTTTACGCCCTCCCATCAGTTGTTTATACAAAGTGAAAAGATCCCCCCTGAGCCTTCTTTGCTCAAGGCTAAACAATCCAAGATCTCTCAGCCTCTCCATGTAGGAATGATACTATAATCCTTTAATCGCCTTTGTGGCCATTTATATGTGCTTTTTTAGCATCCTGTCTTTTTTTCTGGTCCAATTAATGTTTCACCTTGCCTTCATTAAATAACTTGAAAAAGATCCTGTTATGAAGTCTAAAGAAAATATTTTAGATTTATTGCCACCTTTTATATTCAAAATAAGTACACACCCAGTAAATCTTTATGTTCCTTGACAGCTATCCAGATTCCCGGTGCAAACTTATTTACCAGTGAATCCAGAGAGAAACTCAAATGCCATCCCACTGACTTGATGCATATCTATTTATGCATATATATAATATTTAAAATGTATATCGCTATATATGCATGTATATGTATTTATATATATCCCTTAAATACACAATATTATATATATTATAAAGTAATGTATTTAATGACAAAACTGTTTGGATCAGAGTTATCACTCCCCCAAACAATATGCTGAAGGACTGAAGAATCAAAGTAGAGTTATTTTCTCTGAAAGCTTAAAGCCCTGTAACAGAGGCCTGTGAGAATGGAAATAAAGGAAGTGTTTTGAAGTGTCTCAGTTTCCACAGGCCTCTGAGAAAGAGCTTTAATAAATACAAATTAAAAGGGAGCTGGGAGAATGAGAACTAGAAGTAGCATATGTCTGCCAGAAAAATCACGTGAAAACATTTCTCTCTTTTTCTGGAGCAGAGCCTGATCATATCCTGAGCAAACTTCACACTTCAGTGCCACACTTTGAAGGACCTTATAGAGGAACTGGAAGAATATGAAACAAAAACAATAGAAAGAATGTGAAAGACCTCACAGAGGTACTAAGCCCCATAGAGGAATTTGTGTTTGGCACTTACTCCATGCTAACAGAGTTGGTGATTTAATCAAATAGATAGAATTGTTTGAATAGATAGAGTGAACTGATAGAACTGAAATTTGTCATTGAGATATCTTTGCAAATGGCTTATAGGTATTGTTACATTTGGCAGTGCTGTTTCTAATCACAAGGTGTTCTTCCAACCAGCAATATTAACTAAGAATGCCAATGACTAGTGCTCCACAGATGCCTAACAAGTACAGCATTGCACCATATGGAATGGAAAGGCTTTCCCCCTCTCATTTCCTTCTAGAGCTGGCAGAGTTCTGTATTGTGGGTCTGAATGTTACAGCTTTAGGCCATGATAGCAGCACATAAACACATAAGGTTAAGAGTGTGTGTGGGGGGGTGTCTGTACAGGGGTCGGGGTGAAGGTTCTGGGGATATGACATAATCTGGAAAAGAGGGAATGAGGGGAGCAGGTGTTGCTCATCAGCAAAATAAAATAGGTGGCAGTTACTAGGATGACTTCTCTTACCTGGCCATAGCTCTCTCCCTTGCTGTTTACCAGAAAAGACAGTGCAGGTCCTCAAGGTGACCGTGCTGAGCCCTCGGTCATTCCAGAAAAGGAAAGCTACGAAGGAAGTCTTTACCATTCAAGGATTTGTGAGGCCAAGAGCAGATGGAAACAGGATGCTGCAGTGTGAAGCTACATACTATCTCAGCCTTGAAAGCAACATGCAACTCTGGTGCTTCTTTTCATATCTGGGGGAGAATTTGGAGGGCAGCAGAGTGACTAATTCCTGTCTCAAATGAAATGTCTTTGTCTCGCTAGCTGGGAACCAGAGTTTTGGAGTAAGGAGATGGGAAGTCTGGTTCTGTGTTCAAAAGGTGGGAAACTATGCCACTTTTAGTTACAGAAAGTTTATAACTTGACTTAAAAGGTTACTTCTACATCAGAGGCAGTTAAGATCTGAGAAGCAACAATATATCGGTGCATAATGTGAACTTTTCTAGTACTCTCAGCTATACTGGGAGCCTGTACTGCAGCCAGACAGCTGGGTACTCATACTGTGAAACTGTGACACTTCCAAACTGTGTCTGGCACTGGTATGTATAACTGAAAAGAAGAGTAGAAAGGAGTACTTCTGTGAATAAGAAATTCTTAAATCAGTGATGGTCATAATAGCAATCTAACTTGTTTGTACTTTTGCAGTACACTCCTTCCCTGTCCCAATTCTACTACACTGCTTTGTGTTGTGTTAACTGGGTTTGTCTGGTTTAATAAAGAACCCCAAGTTGGTGTAGACTGAAATTTTATTTGAGGTGCCCTCACTTAATCATAGATCTACTCTCTTGTAAGATCAGTTCTGAAGGAGTCTTTCCGTGACATGTTTGTGACAGCTGAGTTAGTACCATTTGTGGAGAAAAAAGAGACAATCTTTGGAGCATGAGTTAGTTGCCAGAGCAGGCATCATTTCTTGGAAGAGCTATTTCACATTATTAATGGCTGTGAATTTTATGCAGAAATGGAAAGCAGCTTTATTTTATACAGAATTTAGGTGTTGGAACAGTTCTCATTGCATTTAAACCATTTTCCCTAATTTGCTGTACATTTGAGGCCTCTCCTTTGGGAAAAACTGAGCCTGTTTCAATACTTACTGTCAAAAAGAATGACTCTGCCATCCCCACCGCAAGGCTGAGTATGGTCTCCAAAGCAAACACTGTTGCATTCCGTACTGGCTGCCTCCCCATATCTCCAGTAGTCAGGATTATTTCCACAGAAACAAGCATAACCTGATTCCATGCCTGCAAACTTTGACAACAAAGATGCATAAGAAAGGGAGGGATAATATTTAAAGGAGTGGCAGCAGGAGGTTGTATAAGCAAGAAAACTAGCAGCACAATATGTGTGTTCTGGAGAAGTTTGATTAGTCAGAGGTCCCACCACAAACTGTTTTTGTTTGAGCTGTCAGGATGCTACTTAAGACTAGCAAGAAAGATGGAACGAAGGGCAGTTAAGGCACCCTATCACTCATAACTGCAGTAAGCAAGCATACTTTCTCCTGGCATCCTGGCATTATTAATTGGTCTTTTGCCCAGGTTGTTCTGGATGCAGAGAGAAGGCTAGGTCCCCTGGAGTGGGAGTGAGACCTTAGACCCCCTAACAGTTAAAAAAAAAAAAAAAGGAGAGGGGGAGAAATATGACAGAGAGCTCTAGGCATATTGCCATCTTTTGTCTTTGAAAACATTTTGTAAATGTATTTCAAAGAAATCACCTTAAATTGTTGACTTCGGCAGGAACTGATGCATGTTTGGATAGTAAGTTTATTGGAAGTCTCGCTGGTGCCAGTCAAAGGTGGTGGCTCTCCATGGTCCTTGTAACACCCTAGATTCCCCGGCACTGGCAAGAATAACAGACAACAGTCATTCTAAAGGTGTCCCTGGAAACACCCAAGAGACAGACCACTTTATGCACTGCCTGGTTACTAAGTAGCTCTCTATATTTTCTTGTCTTGATTTCACAGTATGGGAAATGCTACTCTTTGCTAGATCCTTGTCATATTTTCCAAACATGCCCAGGGATAAACAATAGGTGGTGAAATTGCATTATATCTTCTTAGCAATGTACCTGCTATACTCTGTAGTTGGTTTCTGTAAGCTACAGTAATATAGACAAGATAAATACCCGGTTCATGTCTCCAGATAGAGACAGTTCTTAAAAAAGGCATTAAGTGGGGTCAGAGGTTTTGTGGGGTTTTTTTTATTATGATCGTGCATATTCTAACAATGTAAATGAAACAATGTGATTTCTGTCTGCTCTTCAAAACAATGAAGTTCCAAAAGTTTTCTACACACGATATTTGAGGAAGGGAACCTAAACTGTTTCAGGATGGAGTATGGCAAATTTTATGGGAGGGACTATATACTTATATAGGGGAATTTCCTAATATTTAAAACTCAAATTCTGATATGAATTCAAAGTATCATATTTTTATGGCATGTACAAAGAGATTAAAGGTGAGCAATATGATTTAAGGAAATACATATTTATACTCTATTAGTACAACATTTCAAGGCTCTTTGTTGTCCTGTCCGAAACCAGGACACTTGGTCACTATGGGAGGTCAGAAGGAGTTTTCCCTCTTCAGCGTGTAATTTGTCCTCTGTTTTTGTTTTGGTTTAGCTTTGCACTTTTCATCAAAGCACTGAAATTTAAGCATGACTACTAGAGAGAGGATGTAGGGTACAATATAGTGCTGTGCTAATGGCATAAAATCATCCCTTGCCTCCTTGTCACATCTGCTCACATACTTGGAATTAAATCTATTACTAGCTCTGTGGTCAGATAATTTTTATCTCTGTGCCATATGATTGACAACGATTACATTTTTGTCCACCTAACCTCCACAGCTCTGCGTAACATGTAATGCAGTCAGAGAACTGCATGAGAGTTTTACTTATTTAGTCATTTGTTATTTCAGTACCCAGTAAACTCTGAACTCTCTTGCTAACATCTTGTGGCAGAGCACTGTTTCAGGTTTTTGACTTCCTACTGTTTTTTTTTTTTTTTGGGGGGGGGGGGGACTGCTGGGTTTGGGGTTTTGCAGCTTCATGTGGATTAGCTGTTTTGGGGGTCCTTTTGAACTAGCCATGTCCCCATGTCCTGTACAGGTGACCCTTTTCTCTTATCAGATAACCTGTGTGTTAGCAAACTGCTTCTATATTATTGTACTTTCATATAAATACAATAGGAATGCAGTGATGCTTCTTTACTGGGAAGTCTTGTACAGTAGTCCTGAAAGTATCGCTTCATTCAATTCTGGAAGGCGCATTTCTGGGATTTCTTATACATGTCCATGTGCAGCAGCTACTGAAATAATGCCTTGAATTTAGAACTTCTATTTGTCTAATTCTACCAAAGATGGTCTAGTCCCTATTCTTTTGGACTATTATATACTGAGCTAGTAAACTGATGTCAGTTTATCCTTCCAATCTGAATCATCCTGACATCTGGAACAGTTAACAGGTCTGTCTGAGAACTTGCTCCCAGACGTAGATTATGTTGCCTAAGGCAGCTTCCTTGTTTTGAGAAAGAGGGTTAGCATATCTGTTAGTGACCAGCAAATATATTGTCATGTATATGATTATGCTCTTAAGGAGGATGATTATAGTACTATAAAGAAGAATTAATGAAGCTGGGAAGAAAATGAAAATATGGGGTTTTTTTATAATTTGATAAAGTTGCTTCAAATATTTCTCATAAAATAATTTTGTTCTCTAAGAATGATACAATTTCAATTGTAAATGCTTGCATAGAGTTATGGTTTTGATATGCCCTGCAGCAACATGCGTGTAAGTACCGAGACTTCAAGTTACAGCCTGATTTAACATACCTTTGGAAATCCCCAGTTGCAGCCCCACCCCAGCTGAGTCCAGCTGGGCAGATGACTCTCAGAGAGCTCAGGTTTTTCTACAGTGCTTGATTTCACTGCCCTGAAAAAGCTTCTTAGTTAACCAACCTAGCTCATTTTCCTAGGAGACCTTGGATTTCCTAAAAACACATTTTTTTTTAT